GAACATGTCAGAGATCGGCTTAGAATTTATGGTTCACCGCTCTTTAATTCCTATGCTTTCTATTCTTTTGCCATCTAGGCATTTCACAATCAAACCACGTGCTGTGGTGGAGTTTCCAATAACTATTGCATAAGACATCAGGACTCTTAACAACCACACAACCCACTGAGTGGTATCAAGTGAATAGAAATCAGTGCAGAGACTTATATAGGTTATGAATTCACACCAGCCTCCACCACTCAAGGCAAGCAGCTGTGCTCTGGGTGAACTCCAGGTGAAGTGCATTGCACTAATTTAGCCAGGAGCTTCTGAGGGTCTGGATAACTGGTGCAAGGTCCACATTTAAGAGGAATGAGCCACTTGCTTGCCAGGTAGGGAGATGTTTGATGGTTTGGGTTATTTACTTACTTTGCAAAACATGGTCTTGAGATCCTTATTTGTTCCATTTCTTTTTTCCCCTCTCCAAGGGATTTTACATGTATATCCCAGGGAAGCATGCAAATATAATCTACTCTATGATGAAATGCTGGACTGTCCGGGGAGAGAGAAGTGGTCGGTTCCACGGTGGAGCAATACATAAGAACGTGCAGTCGTTAAAGACTCAGGTTAATAATGTGAGCCATAGAAAGTGAAAGCTCTGGGAAATTGGCTTGCAAAGCAAAAGAACAGCATGGAGCAATCTCAGGTTATACAGCTGACCCAGACAAACCCTGCTCCAGTTTAAAAGCTGCATGTGGCTGTACTATGGGAAGTAAAGCAATGTGTTGTCTTAACATGCCTGTCATTGCCGTACTGCTGCATGTGACCAGGGAACATAATGCATTTTGGATCCTGCTGTAGGATGTACTGGGTTTTAAAGTCCCCCTAGCCCAAGCTGTGTAAAGTCAGTACTAGCCCTAGGGGAGCAAACAGTAAAATCTAGATCGAGTTGGTTGGAAAACCAAGTCCCCCTCTTCCTGTCACATTCCCTCTTCCTACACCTGCACTGCAGGGAGTGAGACCATGTGGTGCAGGTGCTTGTAAGATGCACTGCCACTGATCAAGACTGGGAATTAACTAATGCCAGGGGTAAATCTATCTGTAGTAACCAAACCATCTTCATCCCACACTTCACTCCCACCCCACCCCCAATTCCAGATTTACCCTTAGTGGCAGGAGCTTAGGTGCACTCAACTCAAAACCCTTTTCACTTCTTTTAACCCTGTCTCACCCCACTGTATCTTCCTGCTGTAGTCTCCCAACGCCTGTAATTCCTACTTTCCAAGGCATTGGCTTGTTTCTTGAGCTCAGTATGGTATAATTTACTGCTCCTATTTCCCACAAGTCTTCCCTGGCTTCCCCTCCAACCGATTCTACTACAAAAGTCTCCAAGGCCTTTCCTGGATTTAGCAGGGAAGGAAAAGGGGCAATATTTCTCCAAACTTCTCTCTAATGCTTCTGTTACAGTGGTGCTCAAATACCAGATTCCTTCCTTCTCTCTCCTCATCACGAGTGGTGAATGCTGCCTTTAACATCTGCCCCCAGCCCCCTGATTCCGGCTCATTTGTTTCCTGTAGTCAAATCTCATTTCAAGGGCTTGTCTATGCGTGAAAGTGGTTTTCGATTAAGGTAGGGTGTAAATTCAACGTGCAATAGCTATTGACTAATTCCAGCTGCGGGCACTCAATCTGGAATAAAAGTGACTTGTTCCTGTTTATTTGAACCCGTTTTCAAAGCAGGTTAAGCTAAACAGGAACAAGGCACTCTTGATTCCTGAACTTTCCTGGAAGGGCCTGTCTCTAATGACTACGCATTCTACTCTGTGAGCCATTCAGTTTACTGCAACTCTCCTTCCCACATCTACAGCTGTTTTATTTGTACTGGAATGTATTGACTGTCTACCTGAATGTAAATCTGTGCTATGTTGTGCCGCAGAAAGATTGCATGCAAGGTTTATCATATAAGGGGGAAAATGTGTTGAAGGAAAAAATTTAAGTGAATTCTTTCAAGGGAATATCTGAGAACTCCACGATCCCGCCCCATCATAGAGCTCACTGCACATGCAGTGTACCTGCATCAAAGTTGTTTGCTACATCGGCTGTGAGATCTATAACCTATGTGCTTCCTAATGAAAGTGACATTCTCACCTATCGTATATCTCAGGTCCATAATTTATATTACAAACTCTTGGGGCAGGGATGTGGCTCAGTGTTAACTGAGAGGCTCCTAGCACACTTATGGGCTCTGTAAAATATTAATAAGTTTGGCTAGCGATGTCAGAAAACTCAGTAATTCCCTAAATTCAACCCTTGGGGACCCGCTACTCATTTTCAGAGGCCAGTGTGTGTAAAAATGTACATTGGACTACATGAGCCTGCAGCTGCTGAGCAGAATTCTTCTAGTCTAGTTCCTCTTAATCCTCTAATCCAGTGGGTCTCAAACTTTACTGGTGACCCCTTTCATACAGCAAGCCTCTGAGTGCCACCCCCCTAATAAATTAAACACCCTTTTAAATATATTTAACACCATTATAAATGCTGGAGACAAGCAGGGTCCTGACTCCCCATGTAATGACCTCGCGCCCCCCAGTTTGAGAACCCCTGCTCTAATCTATGTAACTAATCCATTTTGAAGTGTCTTTACATGAGTTAATGTGCTCATTGTCCCTTCAAAGCCAAGTTTGCTAAATGTTATTTAAGTGGCCATGTGCTTGATGCTACACAGGTTGCAATGGGAATGGCTTTGCAAGTTTACTATTTTCATACCTGCATTTTGTCCCTGCTGGGTCTGTCTCGGTCACTCCAGATACCTAACACCAGTGCAATAGCATAAGTCATTCTGCATTACTGAGAGTCAGGGATACTACAAGCAAAGCAATATTTTTTAAAAACGGGGTGATTTGAAATTGTTAGTGTTTTAAATGTTGTTCCTGGACTATTGATTGTTGTTGGATTGAGCAGTACTTGTCACTAGCACCTGCCACGTTTTAGTGACATGTTTTTAAAAGCTTTTTATTTAAGCAAAGGTCACTGCAACAGAAACAGGATGTAAAACGAGTCTGCAGTTCAATTCAAAACATGCTTCTTTTTACCATTGATTGTGATCTTGAATAGGGCCAGTTTTCACTACTTGAACACTATTCTACAGGGGAAACCTCGCTCCACATCATTTCAGATTGTCCTGAGTGCGCATTGTAGACAAACCACACTCATGGACAGAACTCCAGTGGTTCCCAGGAACTCTTCCTATGATAACCAACTGGTAGAATTGAAAAGTACCGTATTGCCCATCGTTGGTAGTCTCACCTACACCTTCTGTCTTCTGGAACTACATTATATATAGACCTGAGCAAATAACCTTTTCCCCCTCCGTTTGCTGGCTTGTACTAATAACTAACTAACTTTTGGTTTGGGTCAACCTAAAAGGCCATGTTTGCAAAACTTTCAGCAAACCGATTTGTTGTTAAAACCTTGTTTCAGGAGGACCGAAACTTCATTTCAACCTAAACTGAAATGTTTCATTTTGGTTCTGAGGTTTTTAATTTTTAAATAAAAAATCAATTTTTAAACAAGCCCTTTTGAATAAAAAATGTAAATGTTCTGTTTTGAAACCGTCAGAACAAAAGGTTTGATTTTAAAAAGGGGGGGGGGGTGGCTGGCATGAGTGCATGCCCTAAATCTGCATTGGTGTAAGAAAATGGTGGTGGGAAAAGGTTTGCCTCACTCTAATTATATGCTCTGCAGATTGTCCAGACCCACAACGCCTTTCATTTTTAATAGCATGTTGCTATGAAGATCTAATACACATTCACGTTTGTCAGCTCAGCACTACCTGCTGTATAAGAATCTGCACCTGGGAACGGTTTCTAACCCCCCCGCGTTAACACGAAGTTCGTCACTAGGGCGAAGTGTCAGAGTTAAGAGCAGAGCCAGGAGAGGGCAGTGGATACCAACCAACCCATCCCACCTTCAAACCGGACCTACCAGCCCAGGAAAGTTCCCACTCGCGGGGTGGGGCTTATTGCCATCAAGGCAGCAGAGCGGGTGTGGAGGGGTGGCAGAGCCGAGCCATTCTGGGGTCAAACTGGGCTTTTTTAGTCCTTTCCCGGCCCCGTGCCGCAGGGAAAGCCGGATCACCGAGCACTGGCTCCTGGCGCCCGGCTTTTAGCTGGAAGCCCCGATTTCCGTGGCCGAAAGCTCGGTGCCAGGGCCAACCCCTCACTCTTCTCTCGGCGGGGCCCAGCTCAGCCCCGGCTGCGCCCACAGAACCGCGGGCCTCTCGGCAGCCCGCTCTCTGCGCCCCTTCTCGAGGGGGATGAAAATCCCCCACAGCTGCGCGGCCAGCGCAAGAGCCAACACCTGGGAGGCAGGAGGAGGGCAAAGCCCCAGCGGAGGCCGGGGGGGAGCGCTGCGGGGCGCCATCTAGCTCGGTTTTCCCAGTGCGGCTGGCACGCTCCTACCCAGGTGTTTGGAGAGCTGCGCCGACGCGCAGCGCTGCGCTCTGAGCTACCCCAGCTCGCCGCTACTTGCGCTCAGCCGCAGGGCCGCCCGGCCAGGGGCCCCTTTAGCCTGGGGGGGCCGAGCCAGGGTGAGGGTTTTGCTGTACAGACACGTGCGCCGGGTCCGGGCGATGGTTAAAGCGCACACCCAGCAACAGCTCTCCGCGTAAAGCCCCAGGGCAGAGGGGTGCCCGCCTGCTATAGACGCCTCGCTGGCCGGGGGGTCCCCCGGGGTGGCTGAATGACTCCGGGGCAGCTCCGCGTCCCGGGCCCGGCGGGGAGAGCCTGAGCCAGGAGCTGCTGCGCTTTGGCTCCGATTTCCAGCTTCCGCCTTCGGAGAAGAGGCGCCCGCAAGGCCCCGCACCTGGCGCTTGTCTGGCCACGACCCATTCCAAGCCCCCGGCTGCCCGTTCCCACGCGCGCCGGCCAATGGGCGGCTGGTGAGGCCGGCGCTGCGCAGCGCAGCGCAGCGCAGCCCGTGCGCCCCCGGGAGCGGAGCGCACGGGCCCGGCCGGCAGAGGCGATGCGGCTGCTCTGCGGGGCTCTGCTCTGGCTCTTGGGGCTCTTGTGTGACCTGGGTAACAGCAGCTTCCTCCGGAGCCATCTCCATGCCTCCAGCTTCCTGCAGCGCAGGCTGAGCGGCCGGGAGAAGCGGGAGATGCAGCGGGAGATCCTGTCCATCCTCGGGCTGCCGGGCAGACCCCGACCCAAGGCCTCCGCCGGGGGCAAGCTGCCCTCCTCCGCTCCCCTCTTCATGCTGGACCTGTACCACGCCATGGCCAGGGAGGAGGAGGACGAAGAGGAAGATCAGGTGGGCTGGGGCCGGGGGGTCTCCCGGCCCGTGCTGACCAGCTTGAGCATCCAGGCGCCGCCTTTGGGAAGAGTCATCAGCCGGGCGGACACGGTCATGAGCTTTGTCAACATGGGTAAGTGCGGAGCGCACAAGCGGCTGGAGAGACCAGGACCCCGGAGGGCGGGTGGGGCCCTGCCCCGGCTTGGGCACCTGCCCCCCGCTTGCTCAGGGGACTTTCTTCACCTCTTCTCGGTCCACCCACAGGCTCCAGTTACTAGATTCAAGGTGCCCAGGCCAGTGGGGACCATTGGGAGCGCCTGGCCTGGCCCCCTGGATAGCCCAGAACTTCCCCCGGGGAATTCCAGCGCAGGTGTTTAAGACGAAACAGCCAACCTGTGGCTGTATCCAAATGCCCCCTGACCAGCTGTCTGATTGCAGGGCTTTCTTCAGCCAATGCACAGCCAGTTCCACTATCAGGAGTTAAGGGTTAGAGCAGCTTTTTGTCTAAAGCACAACTCTCCTTGGGGCTCTAAAATCCTCAAATGGCCTTGAAATTAGTGCCTGGTCTCCTGGCCGATTGGCCTGGTTCTTTTCTGTCTCTCCCCCCCCCCCATTGTTCTCATTTCCCTCCCTTGAAAGTTGTCTGCGCTCAAATTATTTTTCTGACACTTATGCCCCGCCCCCCCCAAAATCATTAACACCTATTGGTTCTCATCTGTGTTTGACCCACCTCTCGCCCTTTATTTTTGGGCCCGGTTTCTAAAGGCCAATGCTTTTCCGTGTTGTCCCAGGCTGCTGGTGGATTTCTGTCCCTTTATTTCAAGCTAAGCTAGCAACACTTCTTTTCTAGTTATTTCTTCACTTGAGATCTGGTTTGTGACAATTTGCATGGACTCACTTGCCGGTTATTCAGCAAGTTGTTAAGCCTCTGGATATTTGTGACATCAAAAATGATGTAATGTGGAGGTGACAGCTTTGTCCTCAGACCATCCTAGATATGAAGGGCCTGTTGACTGCTTCCAGTCTTACATGGCCATGCAAAGTGCTAGATATAATATATGGCCTAGTGGCTAGAGCACTGAACTGGAAAGATGTGGGTTCTCTTCCCAGCTCGTCACTGGCCTGCTGGGTGACCTTCGGCAAGTCACTTCCCCCTTGTTGTGCCTCAGTTTCCCCATCTGTGAAATGGGAACAATGATAGTGATCCTCCTTTTGTAAAGTGTGTTGAGACCTTCTGATGAAAAGAACAATTAGACTCTGGAACTCATTGCCATAGGAAGTTGGTGAGGCCAGGAGCTTAACAAAATGGAATTGGACCTTCATCTGAATAACAGGAAGATCCAGAGTTGTCATCATAATTAATTGAAACAAATTTTGTGAAAGGCATATTAAACCTAATGCATCGGGACCTAAGCCAATCCCTGTTGCAGATCAGGGGGAGACCTAATGGGGAGGGGAGCAGATGGCCCCACATCTGCCTTCTGCCGGGTTCTTGAACCTTCCTCTGAATTAGCTGAGCTAAATGGACCTTGAGTCTGATCCAATCTGGCAATTCCTGAGGTCCTAAAGCTTTATTCTCAGCCCCCCACAGGGAAACACACTAATAACCTGGCCGGTTTATTTACTGTTAGACTGGTGTATAACCTAAACCTAATTTAAACATCCTAGAACTCGCTAAGTTACCATTAGCCAGGGTTCCTGAACTGTTGTGTGCGCCTGTGTGAGGCAAAACATGGCTGGATGGCATCACAAAAGCGGCACCAGGTAGCCTGGCTAAACTCGCGAGAGGATAGAATTACCTTATTCTGACCGGGTTTCGCTTTTACTGTCCATAGGCCTAGCAGGGATGCCGCTGTTTGAGTTTAGGACACAAAAATAATTTGAATCTGTGTGACTATCTTTTGAGGTTCTACAACGCATCCTTGCGACCACCGTACACGTTGTTACTTATGTACCACCGCTATGTCCTTAACCTCGCATACCGGGCTGCTCTCTTCGGACACCAGATCTTTACTAGGAACAGAAACCTCACTACTAAATTTAACTTCATCCTAAACCCCACAGACCAAACCTCGCTGCTAATTGAAACCTCGCTGCTTTATTGTAGAGCTCCATAAAGAGCTGGCTATTGCTAGTTGTTATACCATAAGCTTGCTGGCATCCTACACACAGATGTGGCTCTTGTGCCGCATCCTTTTGAAACAAAGCCTTTAGGAGGCTGGACAGTACCTCTAGGTGCTATCCTCTGCTTATAAAGCTGACTTCATGAGTGATTTGTGGTGGAACGTGGATATGAGGGCCTCCTATGATGGAGACTCCATTTCAGTGTCAAAAGATATCACAGTGGGCCCAGAAAATAAATACGTTGCTGTTAGCCTGAGTGAGAAGCCTGCTAAAATGGAGTGGGATGTGGGGGAGCAGAAAGGGGGAGAAACTAGACCAGAAAATGCCTGTTTGGCACAAATTCGGCAGTAACTTTGTCCCTGCTGGGGATACCCTGGGTCAGTCTAACCAGGTTCGTCTCTTCTACAATCTCCAGTTTAAAGACCAGGCTGTGAAACTGTAACCCAAAAGTTATTTCCACCTTAACACGCTGGAAAAGGTGGAAATCCACGAATGCCTTCAAAAGCAACTGCCTCGGGAAAAGGCTGGATGTTAAGTGGAATGGATTTACAACAACTGCTGATCGCCAAAGTTATCCAGAAAAGGAGGTGGAAATATTGGGGACGTGTGGTAAGAGCAAAGACCGAGTGTCTGCTGCTGCAGGCTTGCCATTAAGCAGCTGGAGGAGGAATATGTAAAAGGGGCCACTGAAAACCCCTCTGTCAAACAGTGCTCAGAGAGTCCGTCTACACTGCAATAAAAGGGCTGTGGCACAGCTGCGGCCGGCCCAGGTTGGGCTCGGGTTGCGGGGCTCAAAGTTGCAGTATAGACGTCCAGCCTCTGAGACCCTGCGAGGGGGCTGGGTTTAGGCCAAGCTTGAATGTGACACTGTCATTTTTAGCCCCGCAGCCCATGCCCAAATCAGCTGACCCAGGCGCTGAGACTCGGTGCTGTGGGTTTTTTTATTGCAGACGTACCCAGAGAGGGAACACTCGTGGGGCTTAACAACATAGAGGACATGCAAGGATTGGCCCAGGATAGACAGGGATGGCAGAGCCTTTTGTGCCCTGAGTAATGTCTGATGCTGCAGGATGGAGTCCGGTTCAGATCTGTTCCAGCACACGACGGCGTCTGTAGGTTGTGGAAGCGGACTAGGATGATAAACTCACCTAATTTTCAGCAGCCGTGTATTAGTAATTCACTCTTATCAGAACTGACTTCAAAATACAGGGCCAGTTCTGCCCTGATGTAAGTGGGCACAACTCCGAGTGGAGTCAGCGGGCACTGCGTTGCTTCCAATTTCGGCATACGTGGGCTCGGAGATCCACCAAACAGGAAGGATTGATGACCATGGAGCAGAGCGTGCAGGGGACCCACCAGCTCCTCTCTTCCAGCAACAGGGTGGAACAAGCTAACGACGTCAGGACACTGAATCAGGATTCAAAATAAAACGCTAACGGTTGCTCCTTATTGCTGGAATCCGGTCAGGCTGGGGACTGTCTAACGCTTCTGCCACTGTCCTAGCTGTATTAATGACATCTAAAGTGATGGTATTTCTATCCAGCACCTCTGTTCCTGAAGACTAATGCACAAAGTTCACTGCGACAAACCAAAGGAAGCTAATCAGAAGAGGGGCTTCATCTGGAAGGGCAGGCTTTGATTGTGGAGGAGGCATTTCTAGAACAAAAACAGCAATATCTGAAACACGAGACCTTGTAGTAATGGGTGACTTTTCCAGCAGCCATCTGGGTAGTTAAACTAATACGGCAAAACACAAAATTCCCAAGAAGTTTGTGTCAAGTATCAGGGGGTAGCCGTGTTAGTCTGTATCTACAAAAACAATGCATTTGAAGAAGTGAGGTTTTTTACCCATGAAAGTTTATGCCCACATAAATCTGTTTTGTGGAATGTCCTGGGGACAACTTTTTGTTTGAGAAGGTGGAGGAAGTAGCCAGTGGGACAGCCAGTTTAGACTGGAGTCTGACTAACAGGGAGGAATTGCTTGCAGATCTGAAGGTTGAAGGCAGTTTGGGGGGGGAAAGTGATCATGAAATGGTAGATTCCTTTATTCCAAGGAAAGGAAGGAGTCAGACCAGCAGAATAAGGACAGTGGACTTCAAAAAAGGAAACTTTCACGAACGCGGAGAACTGGTAGGGAAGGTCCCATGGGAAGCAAATCTAAGGGATAAAAGAGTTCAGGAGAGCTGGCAAAGAAGCTATTAAAGACACAACAGTAAACTACCCTGATGCAGAGGAAGTATAGGAAGAATAATAACAGGCCAATATGGCTTAACCAGGAGCACTTCAATGACCTGAAAATCAAAAAGGAATCCTACAAAAAATGGAAACATGGACAAATGGCTAAGGCTGAGTACAAACAAATACCACCAGCATAGAGACAAAAAAGGGCTAAGGCACAAAACGAGTTACACCCAGCAAGGGACATAATAGGCAACGAGAAGAGGTTCCCTACGTAAATTAGGAGCAAGAGAGAGATGAAGGCAAGTGAAGGGCCTCTACTTAGCAGGGAAGGAGAATGAATAACTGATGATATCAAGAAAGCTGAGGTGTTTGATGCCAGTTTTGCTTCAGCCTTCACTAAAAGGGTTAAGGGTGACCAGATTCTTAGCACAATTAATATTAACCACAAGGGGGAAGGAACACAAGCTGAAATAGGGAAAGAACAGGTTAAATATTCAGATGGGCTAGATATATTCAAGGTAGCAGAACCTGGGAAAATCCATCTGAGGGTACATATGGAATTAGCTGAAACAATCTCAGAACTATTAGTGATTCTTCTATATGAGTTCTCAAAGGTACAGCTGAGGTCCCAGAGGACCGGAGAAGGGCAGACATAGTACCTACATATCTTTAAAAAGGGGGACAAAGAAGACCCAGGGTATTACAGACCAGGCAGTCTAACTTCTATACCCGGAGAGATACTGGAACAGATGACTAAACAATCAATTTTTAAGCACTTAGAGGATAATAGGGTTACAAGTAATATCCTGCATGGATTTGTCAAGAACT